GCCTGTCTGACCAATTATGGTGCAATTAACACACTTGATTGCCTGAAATCTCTGACTCGTTTAACGGTAACGGCTTCAGCCTACTTTTTCCGCAACATCCTTATCCTCTTATCCTTTCCACGCGCACTCGTGTGTGGGCTGCTGCCCACTCATACCTGCCCCAACAGCTCAAAGGCCTGCGTATGCTTGATGTGGCAGCCAGGCAGCGTCCGAGCCAGGCTCTAGGCCAAAGCTTGTTACTGCAAAACTTTGGCTAAAACCACTCGGCCGTAAAGTCAATTGCCCCAAAGGCAAGCGTAGGTGCCTGCTCGTCCAAAAATAGCTCACAACGGGTGCCCATCTTTGTGAGAAGAGGAGGCAGACAGAACTCGAATATGGATAGCTCAATGGCTGACTGCTTTCGTGTGGCAATTTGAATACGAAATCGAATTGAAGTCAAAAATGCTGAAATGCAATTTGAATCAATTCAATTTGTGATATGAGCACAACACCTATTCCGATTCGTGGGAATAATAAAAGCGTTGCCAGAACAAATATTTGCATAGAATCTCGCACAAGACGATACCCCCAAGAAATACATAAAAGTCCCGAAATAAATTTAAACACCCGAAACCAACACCACCCCCCCGAACACCATGAAGCGTTTGCTTTTGTGTTTGCCTTCGCACAATACAAACACTCGAATTAAAGTGAATGTCGTGTTCATTTTCTGCTTAAATGTAAGCTTTTCTTTCGATCAGCAAAGACACAGACAGCGGGGGGGGGGAACAGACTCAATCAATAAGCCAAAACTGGCCCATGGGCTCGTGGCTCGTGGCTCGTGGCTCATGCTCTTGATTATGTTTACTGTCACTTGTCGTCTAATTTGATTGAATATCGTGTCCAGTCCAGTCCTGTTCCTGTGCGTACACTGAACCAACAAAGTGTGGCATTAAATATGGCTGACTGCAAGCGCCACAAGTTGCACACACGTTTAAATAATTTATCAAAATAAAAATCCCCGAAAAAAGGGCCCAGGCGGCTGGTTGTCTTTTGGCTGCGTGACGAACGAGCTGGGAACACATTTCCAGGTCCCAGTCCCAGTCCAAGTCCCTCGACCGCATTCTTAATACATAAAACGAAACCACAACAGAGGGACAGGGATAGACTTGGCGCTTGGTGGTCGCCTTATTATGTTGACATTCTACTCCTGTTCAGTCCCATTCCATTCCGTTCCGTTCCGTTCCACTCCCTGCTCTACCGTTTGGCCGAGCCATTTGGATAATTGATTAGGTTCAGCTCTCACTCACTTAATATACGAGTGGGGTATGCGTCTCTCCCCTCTCCCCTTTCACTCTCACTCGCCCTCTCCCCTGTGGGTCATTCAATAGAGAGCGAGTGGCGCTGTGTGCGTAATAATTTATGGCCTGTATACAAGCGACATTAATCCTTATTGGAATTGAAATACATATGGATGTATTGACAGGCTATTTCCTGTGTCTCTAACATAGTTATGGGGGGGGGGGGCCAGCCAATTACACAAGGTTAATTTGATAATTGCTCACGATTAGTAGGGATGCGCCGCTCACACATCACACAGCTTGGATTTGAGCCGCAAATTGGCTGCTTTGTGGGCTAGATACATTTATCATCATTTGCATTTATGCAGAATGGCAGGCAGGCAGCCAGGAGGAGACCAGAGGGACAACCTCAATGCAGACAATCTTCATCTTGGCAGCTGTGGAGTGAAGAGAGAGCAGCAGCAGCAGCAGCAGCAGCAGCAGGCACATCCCCAGAGCCAGTCAAGTGTTGAGCTTTAGACATAATTTATCAGCTGAACGATTTGATTTATATGGTTAGACATGGCATGCGTCACGTGAGGCTGGATAGCGAGTATGTATGTGCTCCAAGTGTTTTTCTGTTACTGTTTTCTGTTTTCATTATTATTATGTGGCGCTGACTGCGGCTCTTATCTCGCTGCCATTTGTGGAGCACTTACTTGCTTTATGAAAATGGAAAGTATTGCGCGCAAAAAAGAAAAGAAATTGCGGCCCACAGAGTGAGAGACAGAGTGAGAGACAGAGTGAGAGAAAGAGACAGATGTTAATGTTAACATGCATGCCTAAACATACAAATTATAAGCACATACTAACATAGCTGCTTACTAGCTTAAGCTGTGACTAGTACTCAGTCATAGTAGTAGTCATTGCCCCACCCCTCAAGTCTCTCTCTCTCTCTCTCTCTCTCTCTCTCGCTCTGTCTGTGGTGTGAACAACCTCAGTAATGATCTGTGCGTGCCTCTGGCCGATCATCACAATCGTCATTCATCTCTTTTCAACTTCATTTCTCTCTTTCTTTCTCTGTGGGCTTGTAATTAGTTGCCACGCCAAACAATTTACGACAAGGAAAGTAACTTTGTTTGCTGTCAAAATCATTATTGAAGGCTTAACCCCATTAGCTTGAATTGGCGCACTTGCCAATCAGCTCAGGCGATCAAAAGAAACAGAAGACAGAAAAGATACACACAAACAGGTAGACAAGGGCCGCCGCCACAGAGAGAGAAGTTTCTGTACAACTTTCTGCCGAAGCAACATCCCAAAGAACCGCGCAGCAAAGCGAAAACTTTTACCCGAACAAAAGTCTCAAACAATACAAACTCATTCACGAATGCTGCACGAGAAACTGAGAGAGCATCCATCTGCATCTCTTAGAGCCAGTCTTGGCCATGGTTTTTAGTACCCTTTTAGCACCAAACCAGTTTCTCCTCCAAGCAGCAGCAGCCAGCCTAGGCCAGGCTTGTGCTGTGGCCAGCTTCAGTTGTGTTGCGGCGTTCCAATGGAGAGGACCATCTAGACGAAAGACCAGAGAACAGAGAGCGGAAGTACTAGCAGCAACCACCGATTCCAAACCGTTTCCAAAACCGAACCGCGGCTCTAACCGGCAGTGGAGAACGGAACGCAATAAGCTGCGAAATTGTAAGCGCTGCGCATGCGCAGAGACAGCGTCGAGTGCGAGTACTTGCGGTTGTGACTGTGACTGTGCCTTGTGTCTGTGTGTCTGTGTCTGTGGTGGTGGCTCGGGCTTAATTATTACCCTCCCTACCCCAGGCAGCACCTAAAAGTTTAGTTGTTTGTCTGCATTCTCGTGTGAGTGCCACAGTGTTCGTGTGTTTGTTTTGCGTCTCTCTGTGGTGTAACGCTTTTCCCATCCATCTGCGCTGGGAAAACATTCTGGCGCTTTCTTTTTGTGTATAACAAAAGAGAACTGGCCAAAAACAAATGTAAACAAGGCTTGTGCCGGATAATCCAGAGACGGAGACAGAGACTTGTGCAATCCAACGAACAAACAAACAAAAGATTCAACCAGCCCCCAAAAAGTTTCCCAGCAGAAGTGCAATTTTACCAGCAGCCGCAGAAGCAGCCCAAGCAACAGCAAAAACAAAAAGAAAATGTAAGCCAAGTCAAAAGTATAAATCAAAATATAACGAAACAGGTTACAAGAGAAGAGAGAAGAAGAAAAAAAAAACCACCACCGGGGAGACGCGTCAAGAGATGTGTGATTAACATATTTCCCATCAAAAATGTTGGATCGTTTATGCGCACACACACACATGGATCGTGTGTAAGTGTTAAACAAGAAGTGGATCCGATACGATCCACAGTCCTCTGTTCCCCCACTCCATAGTTCCCCAGTTCCCAATGTAGCAACAAGACCTTGAAGCTGTCTTCGATATCGAATCGAATCGAAACGAATCGAAACGAATCGCGGAGCAGCGCATCGCAACGCATCGCGTATGCAAGACAAGTGTACAAAATAAAGTCACTTTTTCGGGGGTAAATTTTGAAATTCCGCGCAGTTTGTGTTTATGGCCAATATAAATTTACATACATTAACATAGGTACGGCTATGTGACCAAAGCAGACATCGCTATCGCTGTGATCTTGAGCAAACAGCCTCCACTGGGCGCAGCACCGTCCCGTACCGTCCCAAAATGCCTTTCTCGCTTGCCCATGGACCACAGCGTAAATAGCACAAATAACGCAAAAGCCACAAATAATGCAAATAGACTCGCCACAGTCGAACGTAGCGTAAAAGTTTTTTTTTTAGTGCCAACACCAAGAGCCAGCGAAACAGCAACAATAACCACCGTACGAGTGCGAGTTCGAGTGCGAGTACGAGTATTAGCCCCCCACCCATACTCACATGTTTAAGCAACGGTACTCACAGCCAATAAGCTGCGATATCAAGAATAAAGAGAAAGACACACAGAGAAGAAGAGGAGAGGTGCTAAGAAGAATTCACAGCCACAGCAGAAGAACGAAGACTTTGTGCTTCCACAAGTGCCTGAAGCTGCCATATTGGGGTTGCGAGTAATCGAGAAGTAAATCCAACACTGAATAGCCATTGAGTAGCCAATTAACAAGTCAGCAATTACAGATATTTTTGCCAGTTGACTGCTTGCCAGACACAAGTGTCTCAGGGTTCTAGAAAAATTAAAACAACTTGCCCCAAAAAAATGTCGTACCTGACTGGTCTTGGTTATGGCATTCTTTCGACTTCGATTGGACCTTGCTTGGTTCGTTGTTCTCTCTCTTAGCGTTTTTGGTGTGTGGCCCGCAGTATGCAAATCAAATGTTCTAGCTTTTGGTTAAAAGAGGAAATGACCAAATACGTCGTTGTGGTGTGAGCGTGGCAGCTGGCTGGCCAACAGATCTCTCTGACCGCCAACTGAAACAAGTTTCACTCTCAACAAACCAATAAAGGTACACAATTGTTCACAATAAGAATAATTGCAGTGGTTTACAGCGATCAGTATCGCTTGTAAATCACACCACTAGATAGGCGATAGGCTCATCTCTATCCTGCTTTCTTTCCTTCTTCCTTCTTCCTTTGTACCGTACGCATGCAAACCGCTGCAAGCCTCGTGTTTTTATTTGATTACAAGCACTGGCATTCCGAATAACAATAATTAATACCATTCCTCCACTCAATCTCGAATTCAATTCCATTTTCAATTTCAGTCCAATATGAAAGCGTGGAAACAGCTGCCAAATGAGGGGCGGCGCTACGCCGTGCTCTTGTTTCTGCTTTGTTGTCTCTCCCACTTGACCCAACACAGCGCCGCCTGGCGTCCATGTCCGGAGCTCAGTCCCGCCCTGCGTCTGCCATGCAGGTGAGTTGTCATAGCCATAGCCATGGCTGTCCGCTGTGGAGACAGTCAAAGCCAAATCAACTGCAGCGACAGGCAGTTTCCGCTTGTATTATTTTAATATCAGTAAATTGCTGCGGCTGCAAACTGTCGCTGATTCGAGCTTTGGTTTTGCTTTGTTTGTTGTTTTGTTGTTAATCATCGACTGGGCGACAATTACAGGTGCAATGTGGTGCCGTTTGCAGCAACCGGACAGCTCGGCGCTGTGGCCATGGACTGCGATCGCGTCGTCTTCCATGGCGATGCCCCCCAGCTGCCGTATGGAGCTCCCATTGTCTCATATACGCAACGTTACAGCGGCCAACAGGTTCTGCCAGCCCAGGTAAGGAAGTTGCAGCCCACAAAGCTTGCGAACGTCTTATTGTCTCTCTCTGAACAGGCATTTGGACAGCTGAAACTAACCATCGAGGAGCTGGATCTGTCCAACAACCTCATCAGGCGTATACCAGAAAAGGCCTTTGATGGCCTCAAGGATTCGCTGAACGAGTTGCGGCTGGCCAACAATTTGCTGGGCGATAACCTCAATCCCATTTTTTCATCCGCCGAGTTGCATGTGCTGAAGAATCTGCGCATCTTTGATTTGTCCGGCAACAAGATCAAACTGATCGAGGAGGGTCTGCTGAAGGGTTGTGTGGACCTCAAGGAGTTCTATGTGGATCGCAATAGCCTCACAGCGGTGCCCACAAACTCTCTGAATGGTCCCAGTGGCCTGCGTCATCTGTCTCTGCGTCAAAATCTGATTGGTAATGGAAGATCAAGTTACTACTCTTTGGATTGATTACTAAACAAAGTGATTCCTTTTAGGTGCACTACTGCCGGACTCCTTCAATGCCCAGCGGCAGTTGGAGATCATTGATCTGCGCCACAATGTGCTGCGCAACATCGACAGTCTGGCCTTCAAGGGTCTGCAGCGTATACGGGAAATCAAGCTGGCTGGTAACCGCCTCACCCACCTGAACAGCGACGTCTTTGAGAAGTTGCAAACGCTGCAGAAGCTCGATCTGTCCGAGAACTTCTTCGGTCAGTTTCCCACCGTGGCACTGGCGGCAGTGTCTGGGTTGAAGTTCTTGAATCTGTCCTCAAATATGCTGCAGGTAAGCACAGAAAATCGGTCAGACGATTCCCTCGCTAACTGGAATCTCTCATCCACGCAGCAATTGGACTACACCCACATGCAAGTGGTGCGGAGCCTGGAGACCTTGGACATGAGTCGCAACAGCATCACCAGCCTTACGCCTGGCACATTCAAGGACATGAACGCGCTCAAGTATCTGGATCTGAGTTTGAACTCCCTGAGAACGGTAGGCCACATGCTTCACACTTGTAGCTTGAGATTTTTAATACAAAAACTTCCTTTCCTTTGCAGATTGAAGATGATGCCTTGGAGGGATTGGAGAGTCTTCAAACTCTCATCATCAAAGACAACAACATTCTGTTGGTTCCCGGCAGCGCACTGGGACGTCTGCCACAGCTCACGACGCTTCAGTTGGACTTCAATCGAGTGGCTGCCCTCTCGGCGGAGATTTTGGGTTCTCTGCAGGCGGGCGACATCACCAGCCTGTCGCTGTCGAGGAACGTTATTCGGGAACTGCCACCCGGCAGCTTCCAGATGTTCAGCAGCCTCCACACCTTGGATCTCGCTGGCAACTCCCTGGCTGTTGTCAATGCGGACACTTTTGCTGGACTCGAGGGCACACTGATGGCGCTGAAACTGTCGCAGAATCGTCTGACCGGTCTCGGCGGCACGCCCTGGGAGCTGCCCGAGTTGCGTTCGCTCGATCTGAGTGGGAACAGCCTCGCCGAGATACCGATTAGCGTATTTGACGAGCTAGAGAACCTGCAGAGCCTGAACTTAAGCGGCAACCACTTGGCTGGCCTCACGGGCGCCCTGTTCAAGCCGCTGGCACGCCTGCAGGTCATCGATTTGAGTCGCTGCAACATTCGACAGTTGAGTGGCGACCTGCTGGCCGGACTGCAGGACCTCAAGCACATCCACATCAATGACAATCAGCTGGCGGAGCTGCAGGACGGGACATTCGTGAACCTGTGGAACATCAGCTCGATTGATTTGTCCAACAACCACATTGCCTCCATCCGCACGGGCGCCTTTGTGAATGTGATGCAGCTGAAGCGATTGAATCTGAAGGGGAACCAGCTGTCGGCCTTCAAGGGGGAGTACTTCAACACGGGCACGGGCATCGAGGAGCTGGACATATCGCACAACCAGCTGAGCTACCTGTTTCCCTCCTCCTTCCGCATTCATCCGCGACTGCGGCAGATCCTCGCGGCGCACAACAAGTTCTCGTTCTTCCCCGCCGAGTTGATATCCTCGCTGCAGTACTTGGAGCACATTGATCTGTCGCACAATCTGCTGAAGACAATCGAGGAGCTGGACTTTGCACGCCTGCCGCGACTCCGCGTTCTGCTCGTGGCCCACAATCAGCTGGACATGGTCAGCGAGATGGCCTTCCACAACTCCACGCAGCTGCAGGTCCTCGATCTGGCATACAACAGCCTGGATCGCATTGGCGAGCGCACCTTCGAGGGTCTGGTGCGCCTGGAGCAACTCAACCTCGAGGCCAATCGCCTGTCGGAGCTGTCCGACGGCGTCTTTGAACGCACCAAATTGCAGATGCTCGAGAACATTAATCTCGCTCGCAATCGCTTCGAGTACGCGCCCCTCAACGCCCTGCAGCGGCAGTTCTTCTTTGTGTCCTCCGTCGATTTGAGCCACAATCGGATCAAGGAGCTGCCTGCGGACGACAGCATTATGGTGAACATCAAGCGCATCGATCTCTCCTTCAACCCACTCTCTGCCCAGGCAGTACACAACGTTCTCAACGAACCCAAGACGGTGCGGGAGCTGAGTCTGGCTGGCACGGGCATCGAGCAGCTGGAGCTGCTGGAGACGCCCTTCCTGCAGTACCTGAACCTCTCGCACAACAAGCTGCGGCACGTGAAGCCGGATGTTTTCCAGCGAGTCACACTGCTGGAGACCTTGGATCTGTCCAGCAACCAACTGGAGAGCCTTGACGATCTCTCGCACGCGTGGCCACAGCTGCAGGTGCTCCAGGAGCTGGACGTGTCCAACAACAGCTTTGAGATAATTTCGCAGGCAAACTTTGGCCAGCTGGAGATGTTGAAATCGCTGCGCCTGAGCCACCTGCCGCAGTGCACAAGAATCGAGAAGAACGCCTTCAAGCAGCTGCCGAATCTCGTCCATCTGGAGGCTTACGATCTGCCGCTGTTGGGCTATCTGGATCTCCAGGGCATCCTCGAGCTGCTGCCCGGCCTGGAGTCGCTGGACATTGAGGTGAAGGACTCGAGCATTGGCAGCGAGCAGATCCAGCCCCTGAAGCATCCACGCCTGAGCAGCCTGGGCATTCGCGGGGAGCGCCTCAAGTCCATCTCCTCGGGCACCCTGGCCGGCTTGAAGAGCAGCGAACTGCAGATAAAACTGGTCAACACGTCGCTCAGTGCTCTGCCCCCAGCGCTGCTCTTCCCCGTGCCACGCTCCTCGCAGCTCAGCCTGAACGTTGAGGGATCGCAGATTTCGGTTCTGGTGCCGCAATTCCTCAATGCGCTGGAGGATCGCCGCGCCAGCCTGCAGCTGCAAGGTCTGGCCAGCAATCCCATTGTCTGTGACTGCAACGCGCGTGCCCTGCGCCGCTGGCTGCCCAACTCCGGAATGCCCGATGTGACCTGCCAGGCGCCGGCCTTCCTTGCCGGCCGAAAACTCATCGAAGTGGGCGACGATGAACTGACCTGCGATGCCCGTCGCATGACCTCCTCCACATCGCGACCCACCGCCACAGTGCCGCATCTGCACAAGTCGTCCAGCCAGCTGGTGACGCGCAGCAGCTCCACGACGGAGGAGCCGCTGATCATATGGAGCCTGGAGCCCACGCAGCCGCCTAGCCTAAAGAAGATTAAGACGAAGGCGCCGCTGATGAAGGCCCAAGCGCCGATCATCAGCAACGACGACACGCTCATCATTGGCATTGTCGGTGGGGTGGTGGCCTTCATAGCCATCCTGATCATCATCATTTGCATTATCCGGCTGCGCATGAGCAATGCGGAGTACCAGCATAGCACGGCCATGATCGGCATCCCCTCCGGCATGCACATGGGCGCCCACAATGCGGCCTACAACTACAAGAATGCAGCGGCTGGTGCCGCACTCTACGCGGTGCCGCCGTATCAAGCCAGCTACGCCACTCTGCCGCACAAAGCGGCCTCCATACACCATCAGTCCACACAGAATCTGACTCAGCGCCAGCAACAACAGCAGCAGCAACACCAGCATCAACAGCAACAGGCGGCTGCTGCAGCTGCCGCGTACTCAACCATGTCCCGCATGTCATACTTCAGTGGAGCGGGAGCGGCAGGCGGAGGTGTCCCTGGCAATGGCGATGGGGCAGAAAGCCTGTCGCAGCATCAACATCAGCCCTACATCATATACTCGGATGATAAGGCCTACAGATAAGCTCGATCCAATCGGACATCATCTCTTTCCCCACATCTACTTCTATTTCAGTCTCAGTTAGTCAGTCGGCCGCATCGCAGTGGCTGCGAGGCCCCCGCCCCCCAACACCACAAGAAACAGGTTCTACATTCTCAGCCTTCGTTGTATATAGACTTAATGCTACGCTCTAACTGTAACCCTAACTGTATCGTACCGTATCTATATTTAACCATACAAGTACCATAATTAAGCGCAGCCAAAACGCTGGCAAATAAACAAATTGTAGTATAATGAACAGAGTTCAGGGCAGTGCAAGTTATTGTGAATCGAAGGACAAGAGTGTTCAGGTCAGCAACAGAGGCGCTGTTAACAGACCAGATGAACAAACAGCATATTACCCCACCCCGCTAACAGCCATGATTAACAGCGTGCTACCGCTATCCACTAACAGCTACAGTCCACAGCTCTGTTAGCGCTCTGCAACAGCGGAAATCTCACGTTCCACATGGCTCTCGAGCGGATCTTAGCTTGTGAGCTAGAACAAGATGAATTAAGTAATGAGTTATTAGTAAATTCACCTTGAGCTAGTCTAACACAAACTTACATCCGCTCAACACTCACTCGGGAGGGCCGCGTGTTAGTTACGTTCCACCAAACAGTGCAACCGGCCGTGCTTAAAAAGCATATTTTCATGGGAATATAACTACCAAGTCAAGCACCCACCCACAAAAACAATATAAAGAACACGTTTCAATGTTTGGTTGGTTTTTTTGAGCGTTGTTTATAATATAATAGTAAATATCTCTCTTTCATTTCAAGATAACGTTTTTTCTATCAAAATGTAAATGTAAATGTTATACATGTGTATAAATATGTATGTAAGTATGCATGTATGTATATATGTATGCAACTTCAAGATCGCCATTTCACAGTCTTTGTTTTTTTTCCTTCATTCATCATTCATCAGCCAACAGCTGGCAGTTATCCATCCTCAATCCTTATTACCAAAAACTTAGTTGGGTTTTTCATTACCAAATGCACAACAATTATCCAAGATGAATAGACTAATTAATTTGCTGTTTTTTAAATGCACATTATAACTGAGTAAGCAACACGATTAACACGATTTGAGAACCAGAAGAAAAAGTAGGATTCACACGTAATAAAAATCACACGGTGGCAGGCAAGTGAGCGCCGCTCCCAGCGGCAGCAGCTCTTAAATCCGAGATAAACAATAACATGGATCCATCCATTCCTATGCCATTTGAGAGTACGAAGTATACAGATTGTAGTGGCGGCGACGATAGTAGACCATCAGGCCATAGCTGGCACACAGCAGCACAGTAATGATGAATATGAGAATGCCTAATCGAAGATTTCAAATCAGCTTATGTTATATTCCATTGCCACTTGATGTATCACCTGTCGCCGCTCCCAAGTTGGCCTCCTCATAGGTCATCATCATGGTTGAGCGCTTGCATTCACGCTCCCAGTTCACTGGCAGCACATCCTGGTAGAGCTTGACTAGAGTTTTCAGTGGGCAAGACAGGCCACAGCCGGGTATGTCCAGGGGTAGAGGCTCCGCTGTGGTGTTCTTATAGAACACAGACACCAAGGGAGTGTTGCTATCATCCACGCGCATCTCCAGCATAATGCAAGCGGCATAAGGTGGACTGTGAAGCTATAAAAGGGAACGCAATCATCATCAATCTCTCTCAATTATAATTCAACTATGGTTTTACCTCAAATAATTTCAGGGAATTCAAAACATTGGCAATCGTTGTGTCATGTGCGCTGTAAATCCACAGCGAACGATCGGGCTTTAGTTGGTTGTTCAACTTTTTGTCGAACCGCTCGAAAATATCCTTTAGCAGAGGACCCGTCTTGAGTCTCGCCATACTGCGCGTGAACGTCGCAATGGAGAAGGCAAAGTTGGACACGTAGGTGAGCTCCTCCTTGCCAAAGACCTTCTCCGCCCACACTGGCAGTGTCATGTTGTAGAGCTTCTCAATGAACAGCGTGTTATTCAAGTACTGGGCATCTATAAAAGACTTTACGAGGCGCCCACTGTTCTGAGTAAGGTAGGAGAGGAGCTCACGATAGCGCACGTACAGAGCCTGAAACTCTGAAGAGGCTTCCAACGTGGCCAACTCGTAGTCGTAGGCTGGGCATGAGGCCTTCGCGGCGAGTATGGAATCGTCCTTCTCGGGCACAGTGTGCACGGGCACAGGCTGCCAATCTATGCGCGGATTCCATATGTCATCGCCTTGAGGCTCGTACAGTCCCGCGAGATCCGATTGTGCGCTCATCAGAGTACGATCCACATCAGTGGACTGAACAAAGATGTCCTCGTTCGTATATCTCGAGCCCAGCAACGATTTGTATCGATTTCGCAGCCATTTTCCCAACTCGTAGTGCTGCTCTTTGCCCAGCTGTAAAGCATGAAAAACCCAATATTATTTCAGGCCACGTTTAAAGGCCTTGACTCGGCTACTCACATTTGTCAGTTGTCCCCAGCCTGTGGGCCAAAACTTTCTATTATTCCAGGGATCCGTCGGATATGGATCCACAGGTGTACGGTCTCCGTGTCGAAAAATCTGCGTTGCATACGTTTACGTTTACATTTAAATGGAAATTAGATACGATAAATATTTGTAAATGATAAAACAAAACAGAATTGCAACACCAACAACGCACGAGCCACGATAAGACGACTTACCACATGCGCAAACTTTAGCTCGCCTGGCAGCGTGGCCAACTGGTCGGGCGGGGGCCGCGTCTCACCTTCGCTGCTGCCATATGTTGGGATGTGGACGGCATTTCCTATGCCAAATGAGAGCAAACATAGCACGCCGATCACAAGCAAGGCCTTGGCACAGCAGAGCTGGTGACTGTGGTTCCACATTTTCAGTGCAAAACTTGTCAGAAGCGTCCGACACCGACTGCGGGAGAGTATGGAGCATGTGTGCATATGGAGGGCTTAAATTGTAAGCCAACAGACGAATTTCTGCCTTGGCTGCTGAACACACACGGCTTACCTCAATCGAAGCACTGGCCAGCTTATGGGACTTCCTTTTATTGTTATAGACTCGCAATTTATGTTTAGGCAATCGCCATATTTCTTTGTTTATAAATTTGATGACAAATTTGATAAGTCGCAGTGCAGCTTTGAAGAAGTCGATAGTCGATAACGATAGGCGTTGACCATAGGAAACCCGACAGCCCTGGCGCGCTCGTTAAAATTCAAAACAAGTGTGAATGGTATTTGTGATTGATTGTATTGATTGACTCGTCGTATCTAGTTGCACATAATTTATACGATTATTTAAGTATTGCGGTAAATATTGTAACAATCTTAGCTACAGATAACAAATACATATACTGTTTGATGTGGTCTTAAAAGTACTGCATCGGGGCGAATGAGAAAAACCAAAATAAACTATTATGCTTAAATTAATTGTGAGAGGGGGCGGGCGCGCGAGACAATGGAAAAGAAAAATTGGCTATTACAATATTCATTTGAGTTGCCGAAGCATTTGCGAAGCAGCACTTCAAAATCTTCTATTTCCGCCCATATTATTTGGTCCCGGTCTGGGCCCGTTGAAACTGTACAGGCGAAAACACGATGTAATATGAATTATTTAATTATGTGACGGATATACCAACCGGTTCCGATGTACGGCCCCTCCCCCACGGCCGCCTTCGTGCCTGCCCAGTGGAGGAAACTCTGTTTGATATGATCCATGCAAGCCGCCGCTCTGATCGTGTCCCGGCTTGTTGCCGGCGCCTCCTTGACGCTGTGGCCTATTGTGCTCATTGTTGGCGGCACCACGTCTGGCATTAAATCCACCGCGGTCATTGTAGCTGCCACGTCTACCTTGCGGATCAGCACTTGGAGTAAAATATAATTAAAACACTCATTTAAGGGATAGCTCTAAGGGAATACCCGTTGACTCCGGAACTGTGGCGATTGCCGCTGCCGCTGTTGCTGCCATTGCGAAAGCGATTCTGCTGCACACCAAAGGTCATCTGTTGCTGCTCCACCGGCAAAGCGAAGCCACGACGATCTTGTCTTACCCCCCTCGGATTGTTAAAGCTGGAGTTTCCGGCAAGAAAATCATTATTGTTATTCGATGGACTGTTTTTGAGGTTCCTCCTGGGCCCCTGGGGAGCACCTCTATTCGCATTGCTAGACCCTGCGCCGTCACTATTGTCCCTGTGTTGAAATCGGCGACCGCCATCGTCACCGTTTCTGCCCCCATTACTTCCTACACTGAATTTGTTCCTATAACCCTGAGGAGACTCGTTCGACGCCTGCTGCTGTGGTGGTCCCTTGCTGTATGGCGCATTGCGCTGCTGTCTGAAATTTGTCTCATTCCTAATAGGCCCAAACTGACTGCCATTCGAGTTGAAACCACCTTCACTGCCGTATCTACCGCCTGCGCTACCACCGCCATCGCGCCTATTGTTCGAGCCACCACTCTGACCTGTGCAAAAGATACATTATCATGAGTAAATAAAATAAATATGTGCGACTGTTATGCTTACCCTCCAGCGATCGGCGCCCTGAGCCGCCACCACCGCCGACACTTGGCGGGACACGACTGCCGGCTCCATTTCTGCTTCTTTCTTTTGGCCTGCCGGCCTCAACCACAATTGAAACTCCTTTGAAAAGTGTTCCATTGAGGGCGGCTATGGCCGCATCGGCCATGTCGGAAGTCTCTAGATGCACGAATCCACATCGATTCATAACATCTGCCTCAACGACAGCTCCATAGTTTGAAAAGAGGCGTCTGAGCTCGTCCGGTTTGCAGCCAGACGGCAGGCTGCCAACGAAGACTTTCGCAGTCTGCAGTGTGGATAAAACAACCTATTTTATAATTTACCGATTCTGACCACATCTTCAGCTCTTACGTACAGACATATGTATGTATTTATTTTTCTTTTCTCTATGTGTTTTCGCGTTTTTCTTTTATTAATATAGAGATGGGCATCGTGCACTTGCCAGAGAAATCTAGTGTGGGGTAACCATCCAAAACACCGAGCATATCGATGTTTGCGATAGTCAGCTATCAACCCCGCTTTTGTTTACAATTTCAATATTTACAATTATTTATATTTTCAATTTCCAACTGCCCAACTGAAATGTGGACGACGCCAAGCAATGGGGACAGCTTCGTGAATATGGATTGCAGCAAGAACGTGGTAACCATTATGCCAAGTGTGGAAATGTTGGTCAGCTTCTCGCATGACACGATGCGCGCCAAAAAGCCTTGTCTACTGTACGCCGAACGGATGGACTTCAAAGAGATGATGGTGAGCGGGGTAGAGACCGAAACACCTCCTCCCCGATATTAAACATTTACCTTTTGCAGCAACTGCGCTTAGCGGAGAAAGCCGATCAGCGTCGCATGTACATAACGACTGTGGACTGTACTTCCTTTCACGAGCTGAAGCAGGATCAGTGCCTGAATGTGACCTTCGCTGGGTTCATGGACAATGTGGTGCGCATGCTCAGAGACTGCCAGTCGGGCAAACTGGAGCTGCACCTGGCCGCCAGAGAGCCATCTGGCTCCGAATACCAGCTGCAGTTTGTGGAAATTAGATCGTTCAAGAATCTCATACACTTGTGCCTGCCCTGCCGTTCTGCACCTCTAAACACGGTGCTCTACTACATAAATCTCATGCTAGATGCCTCGCACAAGAAGTGCTTTCTGCTGGAGGAGAGCATACAGCAGGTGCAGCTAGAGTTGAGCTCACAGCGTGCGCACATGGATAGATTGGGTGCGGAAAACAGCAAACTAAGAGAGGCACTGGCGGAGAATACGCAACGTTTGGAGGAGCAGCACGCTGCGGAGTTGCAGCAAATGCAGGAGCAACTGTCGAAGGTGAACGAGCAGCGCAGCAGTGAGCTGGAACGCAATCGCAGATCGATCTCCAGCATCCAGGCGCAGTTGGAGAAGGCAAACGCGGACAAGTGCGACACAAAGATTGCGCTGGAACAGGCCGAGCAGCGCACCCAAGCATTGAGTGATGAGCTAGCCAGCTGCAAGTCCCGCATGTGCAGCCTCAAGGAACAAAACGATAAGCTGCACAGCGACAAAGTCAATGCCAAGAAGCACGAGCGAAAATTGGAGTACAAAATTGAAGATCTCAAGCAGCACACCGCCGAGCTGCAGGAACACATTCAGCGAGGAAACAAGGAGAAGGCCAACGTGGCTGCCGAGCTGGAGGCGGAGAAGAAGATTTTGCACACGAAGCGGCAGGCGCTGGAAATGGCATCCGAGGAGATTGCCAAGGCCAATCAGATAATCCTCAAGCAGAACCAAGAGATCCTGGGCCACAGGAAAACGATTGGCTGGCGCACGGAAGTGGCGCTGCAGCAGGAAAAGGCCATTCAGGAGAAGGAGAAACTATTGTCCCTGCGCGAGAATGAGCTGAGGGAAGCGCGAATAACAATCAAAGAGCTGCGCGAGGAGATCCCCCACCAACTGCTGTCCATGCGACAGTTTGCCAACACCCTGGAGAAAAAGTATTCAAGTCGTAAGTGATTCCTTTTGAGAGAGTTCCTTCCTTACTTATCTCGGACTTTCAATTACAGAGATACTCACACTGAAGGAACGTTTGTCAGGAACGTGCACCGGCAAGGAGAATCGCCGCTAGGAGGCCACGTGCTTAGTTTTTCATGTTTCTTATCGTTAATTTATTCTCATTTCTCATTGATAGGTTTAATAAAATTAAGTTGTATTGTTTGTCGCTAGTCATACTCCTCCTCGACACTGGTGACGGCCTGTGCGGCAGCCACGTTAACAGCCTGACTGATATCCTCGATCTGGTTCATCTTCAGCCTCTCGCGTATCAGCTCGGCAATGGCCTTCTGTGTGCGGCGCTCCAGCCGATCCAACTTTTTGCTGGCGTCGCGCTTTAGGTCCCAGTCCGGCTTGCGTGGGGCCAAGTTGCTTATGTCTATCTCGTCGATTACCATTGGCTCTTGCAATAAATTCAGCTGCGTCTCAACGGCGGACTCGATGGTCCCCGTTGGCTCCTGCAAGAGAACTTCCCCGATCGTGTTTTCATTTTGTGGTTTGTAGCTGCGAAAAACTGGCCTGCAAAGAAAGAAAGTTTGGGGTTACTAAATAGACCTTTGCATGGCCATTTACACCATATTTACTTGGGCAATTTTTCATTCAGTTCGGACGAATCGGCGCCTTTGTTTTGGACCTGTTCCCGCAGTTTCTGCAATCGCTCCTTGCGCTTTAGGGACTCTTCCGTCAGTTTGCCCACGCTGTTGTTATCCATGAGCACGATGTTTTTATTCAACTATATGTAAATCGTCTGCCTGGCTTGGTAAGATTTCTATCTATTTTGTTATTTGTTATTAATTTCCAGTTAGTTGCATTGTCGAACACTGGAAAAACCTCCGCGTTTTCTTTGGACCATCGATGTATCGATAGATGCCTACATGTATACATAGCATTGTGTTACCTGAGGGGAGGGGAGCTTGCCTTGCGTATAGTTTTTATCTGAATTAAACAAATAAGCTATAAAATAAAGTTATTTGATCCTGCTGCGTTGGCTTTGGACTCGAAACCTTGCTAAGGCCAGTGTTAAGGCCCGTCGTGTAACGAACACACTTGGATGCCACGAAATAAACAAGCGAAGACACAAAACAACAAATTTTTGTGCGTTTGCAGCTGCCACAACTGTTTTGGAGTAACCAAAATAAATTGCCCAGAGCTAGTGCTCTAGTGCAGTGTGCGCGCACACCAATTTGAGACGCAAACGCTCTGCTTTTAGGTAACTCTTTGATTCTGTGGCTGTGGCTGTGGCTATTAAAAACCCGCAGCCGCTGCCTGCTGCCTGCAGCCAGCCTGTCGCTGCTGTATTTACATGTACATTGCTAATAAATGTGTGTTTTTTTTCTCGATCAAAGGGAGCAGGGAGCGAAGCCCATTGTTCTGCCTCGGCGACTAGTGACATCGTTTTGCCCGGCTGCTGTGCTAAAAATGGAGTGGACCAGGGAGAAGACACTGCAGCTCATCGTCGAGTACCGGTGTCGTCGTGGCCTGTGGGACATGACATGTGACGAATATCGCAAGAAAGAAGTCAAGCAGAAGCTCTTGAACGAAGTCGGGCAGGCGCTTGGCGGGAACATACCCACGAACGAGTTGGAGAAAAAGTTTCACACGCTGCGCACTCAATATCACAGAGAAATAAATCGCATGAAACGGAAGGAGCCGTACAACTCAAAGTGGTTTGGCTTCAAGAATCTCGCGTTTCTCAGCTCGCCCTACGCCTGTCGCTCCACGAAGGGCCGCGTGAAGATCGAAATGCAGTCGGACGAGCGCAGCAGTCGGTCCAACGCGCTGGAGAAGCTCATTGAGGAGACGACCAAGGATGTCGACGAGGACCTCATCGATGAGTCGGAGCAGGAGGACATGGAGCTCAAGCCGAAGCTGAGCAAAGAGATAAATGTGCGCTATGTCAGCCATGTCCTGCACGATGAAGAGCACGAAACGATCGAGAGTCATCATCAGCAGTCGCTAATGGATCTGCACGGGGAGCCTGTGGAAGCGGTCAGCTTTCAGGCCAATGAGAACGGAGAGCTCCACTACCAGTCGACTCCAGCGACGAACACTGCCATATCCAGCAACGCGGTGCACGTGCTCTCCGGTCGCATCATAAAGATACCCAAGCGAGACGCCAACGCGGACACAGATGGCGGCTACTACGACGAGCACCACCTGCATCCGCCGCCAGTCAAGCGCCTCTACTACGACACCAGCAACACTTCACACAACGCCACTATATTGGAATCCACGCAAAATGGCACTCCCGTGGTCAACATACGCCTGCCGAAGGTCAACAATGCAGGCAATGTGCCCCTCCTGTCCAGCAAGGCGGGCACCTCGTCCCTCTCCAGCCCAGCCTCACCGACGGTCGTGAACATGCCGCCGCGCGACGAGTTCTCAACGTACGGCGAGTACGTGGCCAATGAGTTGCGTGCCATCACCAACCGGGAGAACCTCATCGCACTCAAACACAAGATCAACACGGTCATATTCGAGACAAACATGGCCGAGTTTCAGAAATAAACACAGTAAACACAGCACTGCACATCCCTTAGCTGCACTTTGACAAACTAATTAACTTACCTAGAGCTAGTGAGCTTTTAACTACAATTTTAGACCTATATTTAACTTAAAATATTGCAATTGTCGTGTTCCCCCTCCGTCTACGCGTCGCCCTATTTCAATTTTACATTTGAATTTGTACATTTAACACACAAACACACACAGACAGAGAAATATGTAACAGTTTAAATACATAAGCCAAATATATAATTTAGTGGAATATTAATTCAGTTTAGTACAGTGGCCCCAGTAGGCTCTTCTTTCGTTGCTTTTACAGTTAAATTTCAGTTTACACAAGATGGCCGATTCCATTTGCGATCCGTTTACAAATCTACCAGTTAAATTTGATATCAACGAACTCGTCAAGGAGTTCAAGCCGGAGTTGCAGGAGCGAAACATTTCAGAGGCAAAGGGACCCCGGGACTTTCTCCATCTGCCCAGCGAAAAATGGGTGGTCTTGCCCAGCTTTGAGCATCAATTGGAGCATTTGAAGCCATATCTTTCGTGCCGCCTGAACGAATATCTGCGTTGTCGGTACAGAAAGTTCCTAGATAATGTGCCAAGGAATTACATAACCATATCCGTGTATGGAACAAACGTTAACAGGTAACAATAGCATATATAAGACCTGCTCCCTACTGTACATTTCCTTTCTAGAATGCCCAAGCCCAGACGGAAGACTTTGAATGGTAAATTCTATGGCGTCGACAATAAGCTAGCGCCCATTCCCGTCTTGGCAGATCCCCGCCAGCATCATGTGACGAAGAGAAAGTAGACAATCAAATTCAAAAAAAGTACAGTTACAGGTACACCGAACAAACCCTTTCTCTCTGTATTTGTGTTATCGGAACCAGCTGATGGCCAGCCTATCGATTCACACACTGGTCACACTAACGACAACAGCTGAAGCTCGCGACCCGAAAAAATCAATAATGCAGAAAAATATCAATTGCGGGCGAAAAATGTTTACAAAATGCATTAGTTGCTGTGGCTTTACGATAATCTATGTGTTTTTCGCCTGCCTGTTAATAGAAAACTGCGGTGAGCATACGTGGCCACCCACACAAAGTGACCCCGATTAAGTTGTGGCTGTATCTGGTATTTCAGTTGCCTTGCACAGGACGCTGCGCCACTACGAATTGTTTCACAAGGACGATGTTTTGCATAGAGTGGTCAAGAGAGGTATTATTAAGCATAGCAGAAATCCATTCAACACCATCAAGGAGGTGGAATTCACGACGCTGGGCAAAAACTTTCGACTGATTTTGCATCCGCATCGCGAGGTCCTGCACAGCAAATTTCGCGCCTATGCCGTGGATGCTGACGGCAACGAGACGGTGGTGCACATGGGTAAATATTCAATTTGGTATACATAAATGTCCACTTACTGAGGCTGTGCTATTGGTTGCTTGCAGATCATGACAGTTTTTACACGGGCCGCGTCTTTGGGGAGCTAGAGTCCTCGGTGCGTGCCCACATCGAGGATGGCACCATGACCATGTCCATCCACCTGCCAGACGAAACGTATCACATAGAGCCCTCGTGGCGCCACTTGCCTGCAGCCAAAAAGGACACCATGGTGGCGTACAAATCGTCCGATGTGAAACTGCACAAAAACGAGCAGGGAGCCACGCCAAAGACTTGTGGCTACATCAAGGAGGGCCTGGAGCTGGAGAGCAAAGACAAAGACGATGACACGGTGGACAATGAGATACATGCGCGCGAGAAGCGCCAGTCGGATCAGTACGAGTACACGCCCACCAAGACCCGCTGTCCGCTGCTGCTAGTGGCCGACTATCGCTTCTTCCAGGAGATGGGCGGAGGCAACACAAAGACAACCATTAACTACTTGGTAAGCTGATGAGCTCTGCTCTAGAGGGAGCTGTCTAATGTCATTTAATCTGCCCCACAGATCAGTCTTATAGATCGCGTGCACAAAATCTATAACGACACGGTGTGGCAGGACCGCTCCGATCAGGAGGGCTTCAAGGGCATGGGCTTTGTGATCAAGAAGATTGTAGTGCACTCGGAGCCCACGAGGCTGCGTGGCGGGGAGGCGCACTACAACATGATACGGGAGAAATGGGATGTGCGCAATTTGCTGGAGGTGAGTTCCGGGCCATCCAAGGCGAAGTCAAAGTTGAATCAATTGTGTCGTGTAGTTGTGATTGCCTCATTAACACTCTCATATATCAATCAATGTATGTAACTCTTGTTCTTGGACTCTCTCTTACTCTAATCCCACCATGACTGCTAACCCGTGTCCGTGTCTGCTCTCTGGGGATTAGGTCTTCTCCCGGGAGTACAGCCACAAAGACTTTTGCTTAGCTCATCTCTTTACCGATCTGAAATTCGAAGGCGGCATTTTAGGCTTGGCTTACGTTGGCTCCCCGCGTCGCAACTCCGTTGGCGGCATTTGCACTCCAGGTTGTGGCTAATCCCAGATAAATCAATACTCGTTTTTGGTCATTTATCATTTGGCTTACACACTTGCGTTCTCTGCTTTGTTTTCCTTCGTTTTGTTCAAGTTTGTTTTGGCATTCATTGACCGTAAAAATAATTCGTTTTTGCCCTCTCTCTACCTTCACCTCAAGAATACTTCAAGAATGGCTACACGC